CCTACGTGACTCATTATCTGGCTCAGACAATGTCGCAGTACGGAGTATGGGAACCGAAAGTCGTTACGCTTGTTGACTGACTGTGGGTCTGACACCCACGACTCGAGCAGCTCGCGGCTTACGCGGTTGTCACCTCTTGCGATGATTTCGACCTCGTTGAACTTGAAAATGAGGGCCGAATTCCGCTGAGTGAGCTGCAATCTGAAAATTAGCGTCTTTTCTCCTCACCCTGCTGCGTGCTCGGTCATTCCCGTATGGAGTAATCTCCCAGTTTCTCAGACGTAGGTACTTTGTCCACAACTGCACCAGATCAGGTAAACGACTCCAGTCGGTCTCATGAACCGGCCCCTGACGGTTGCTTCCGGCTTTTGCGAACTCCAACTCCAAGTGGGGTGAGCAGACGGCTAACCGTTTCCGATACATTTTTCACATACGAAAGAGCTCACCCAACTTTTGGATCACTTGGGTGTGGTTTCTTCTCTCATCTGTGTGTGCAGTGGTTGAAAAAGGTGCGCGGGTAACCATTCGCTCTCAGTACCCATCGAAGAAGTTGAAATTCAGCAACTTTGTCTTCCACTTCGCTACAATGCGTATCAACGCGCCGGTATAGCGCTCTTACGCGGCTGCGTTTGACTGATCGGGCGGTTGCTGTTAAAGTTTGGGAATTGCATAATGCTGGTCGCTTTCCTAAACACTAGCTTTTAGGCCACCACAATCTTCGCGCAAACGAGAACATCCAGAAGAGCTAGCTGGTTGTTTTCTTCCTTCATCGTAAACTGAATGGGGGTGGGTGTTGGTGATGATACAGAGTACCGCATCTAACAGGTGAGTTCAGATACACACAAAATTGCTGGATTATTACACTAGTTCCGCTTGCTTCAAGTGATTTTTTTGCGCTTTGAAAATGCGAAATAAAACAGAGACACGGAGTCCCAAAAGGAGACTGACCATAAGACGCCTGCAAGCAGTGCTCTGTCCCATTATAAAGGATGGTCAAGGAGAAGTTAGAGCGGCTGGGGAAGTCAGTGATTAGGAGACCATGGGATGAGAACCACTGGAAGATTGCTTCCTTCGAGGGGAAATCGCAAAAGCCTAAAAAGACAGGTAGTAAGCTGTACATCAAGATAGTTGCGAACCAATCAGTTTAGAAGACGGACGGGCAGAAACAGGGGTCAGAATGATCAGAGGGCGGACGAGAAAATTGAGTTGGGGGAGGTAGAGAAGGTAGAATCGAGGAACGTACATGGACAGGAGACGAATATTAACGACAGGTATACAGAAGAGGGGCTAACTATTTTTTCTTTGAAATGTCAGGCCTATCAGTGCTAAATAACTCACCATCTATACAAAGGCTGCTGCCAAGCTGACTGCGATCGGCTGCAAACTGGGCAAGCTGATCAAGAATATCCTTCTTGTCACCCTCCACTGGTATCGGTTCCAAATTGGCGTCTTTAGTGGTGGGGCTCAGTGGTCCATTTCGACAGGCTGAGTGATTAGAGACAGGAGAGTCGCTGACGGCAATACCATTTCCAGAGAGTCTAAAATGTGATAAGTTAAAGATCAAGAGGTGGTCAGAGTTACAGATAAGGTTATACAGACAGGGTGCAGGCAATGGGTAAACCCCGAAACTGCATAATCTTAAAAACTCACCCATTTTTCGCATTCATTTCTGTCTCTGGAGGTGACTGGGCTGGGAAAGCAGCAATAGCACTAACGACCTGCTGAAGGAGGCTCTCGTCTTCGATGGCTGTTCCGTCTTCAGTAAAGATGGCCAGGCTAGTCGTCCCAAACTCCTCCCCTTGCCGTACATACAGTAAGCGACCATCCGGGGTTTCTACAACTAACTAGAAAATGCAAAAGCCATGACCTCTTACCGACAATCCTACTCCAACAAAAAATGGCCGACCGGTCTGCTTTTTACTGTGAAGAAAAATTCAACTGCAGCACAGCTCAGATGACCAGTCCTTCGCGTGGTTGGGGCATGCAAGTACTCAGTCGGGAAAGACCCGACCAGGTGCCGCATCAGGTGTACATGCATGTGGCTACGTGAACTGCCATTACAAATAAGACCACCACTAAGACAGTTCGACGTCACAAGGGATGACATTCACCGCGTGGCCCATGGGGTGGGCACGGTACTGATGACTCGAGCACAGCATCGATAACACTCTCACTTACCTCACCAACATTACTTCGACAGCAAGACAATGCCCAGATGATCGGGGGGCGGACGCGAGCACAGTAGCTGACAAAGATAGGAACGAGTCGTCTAGGTGTTTCACCTTGTTTTAGTGAGGAAAGTGCGCTAAAAGCCGCGGCTTGGGAGGTTGCCAATCGAAGAAATAATTCGGACCACGCGGTCAGTCCAGTGTGCGTTTTTGTTGTGTGGAATGGCTGACTTGATTCGAATAGTTACTGTTTTTGGGCGAATCGGCTTCACAGATAGCGGCAGCCTATTAGCGGCGGTCGGAAGCAGGCTCCGCGCAAATATCAACCCAGCGCTTGTTCCATCGTCTCCAGCCGTAAACGCTTACGAGACCCATACGTTCGACGTGTGACTTGACAGTGTTGAGCTACGTCTTCAGTTTACCGCCATGTCGGTATCTCCGGTTTAAACGACGAGAGGGATTCACGACCATTCTGCAGGTCTGTCCATAGCTTGCACAGAACATGTCCAAACCATTGCAGTCACCGATTCTGAATGTATGATGCTAGACTTGGTAGTTAGAAACACCTGCGGTACAGCTTAACATTGGAAAGTTTGAGCTGCCAGGTGACTCTTGAGATGCGCCAGACACCAACGGTCGAAGACTTCGAACGATAGAATGTCTATTTTTCTGACGGGCCATGTTTCGCAAGCATATATTAACACCGGTCTAGTAGATACTCAATAGCTTAGTACGTTAGCTGAAGTCTGAGCAAGATCAGTGTTCTGCTAACAGCCTAAATACATTTCGAGCCTGCGCGATTCAGTTCCTGATTTTTTCTATGGACTGTCCGTTGGCTAGTATATTCAAGCCTGAAGAGCGGAAGCAACTAACTTCTTCGGTGGGTTGACCAGCGATAAACAGTGGTTTTACTGTGCCAAGCTACTTAGTCAGGAACGTCGTCGTGCGCATGTTAGTCGTAAGACAAACGGTTGTAGCGAAGCTGGTAATTTGCTCTAGCATTGGCTGTAGTGACTGAGGTGTATTACCAAGTAGGACAATGTCATTGGCATACTCCAGTTCAGATACTCTGAATTCAGGGCTCATTTCATATCCACTATCAGGTTAAATTGATTGATGCATAACCCAGTCTATCAATCAGTTTAAGAGAAGTGGAGAAAGAGGGCATCCTTGTCGAACTCCAGAAGTCAGTGGGAAATAGTGGCTGACTGGCGGACTGACAGTTAGGCGGTAATAGTTCCTCCTTAATGTGGCCTTTATGGCACTGTCACTCAACTCAGATCCGAGCCGTCCCCAGCTTTGCTGTGGTTTACTTAGTTGTGGCGGCCCACAGTGCGTGGGTCTGCCAAATATCGTCCAAAATTAGACTGCCTGACTGGAAAAGCACACAAGGAGTCGATGCGAATAACCAATAATACTGCGACCACCGTCACCGGGTCGTTCCACAGAATGCTAAACAGACACAGAACACATTCGATACTCACCATGTTCTGGTTAGATTCATCCTCTACCGCATCTCCTTTACAAGCCGCCAGTACATCAGCGTCCACAGGACAAGGTGAGGGTACAGCCATATCGTCGAGCAGCGGACCCTCCGATTTTATTCCACCAAAGTACTGGTCTGTCGAGGCATCTGAATCCCGGCTGAGTTCTGCTTGCGAATTCTCTAGGATGGTGTCCATGCTGTTGTCCGTGAGTTGTCTCACCGCCTCCGACCACTCACCGAGGGTCTTCTTGGTATCGTCCTCCTCCTCCGGCTCCCTTTTCACTATCGGACAAGGAAGTGAGCAGGAGTTGGAAGCCTCCTGAGAGGTAATGGCTGAAGCCGCCATTGCCGTCTCGGTCTCTTCGCTTGAGGGCAGGGCAGTGACCACGGTAACTTCATCCGCAGGTGGGGCCGCCGGGATCAGCGTCTCCTCGTCGGTCAGGATAAAGGCATTCGCGTCGGCAAAGTTGTCACCTGGTGCCGCCATCTTGCCTACGGAGGAGATTACGTCCAGCTGAGTATTCTATAGTTGAAGAAATAAAAGTCACTGTCAAAGACACCAGAAGAAAAAGAGATTGTTGTCGCACAGCAATAACTGCTTTCCATAAACCAAGTTCAAAGCAGTGTTTGGCAATAACATACAAGTCGCTGATAATACTTTTTTTATCATCCCCTATTTTTATGGTACCTTTAAATCTTCTTTTTTATTCGCACTGAAATGTACCTTCGCTTAGAATGATATATTACTAGAGTATCGCTTAGCTTACCAACAAGAGGTTCCTCCCGCGACTTACTTCTGCAAAAACCGTCCTCGGTCGAGTCGCGAAAAGAAGCCATTTTATATTCCTTCTCTGATCTGTGATAAAGTCTAAGTTAAGCATACTAAGTTAATGACCGATGTTCCTGTCCTACGTCCTCATTTCTCTCAACTAGACATGATTGTTGCCTTCCCCTTGGTGTTAGCGAACCCGACTATTCGTCACCAAAGTCCTCCACGAGGCAAGGAATTGAGAACACACCGTTCGAGCGTACAACTCAACTGATATACGTCAAGTAAAAACAGTTACTGGTCGCCTACATGCTACCCAAATTTTCTTCTCTGGGGTTAGTTCAAAGCGCGAAGTTTCCTCGAAATCATCCACCCCCCCCATGCTCATGGCGACACTCACCTTATACACCCCGTTGTCCACGTCCGTTTATTATCTAAAAAAAGTTTAACTTAACTTGCGTCCTCAAAACACGCTGTTATTAGTACTCTTAGAACCACTGTCAGTTTATCGTAGGCATTTTGCTCATTTTCTTTTTTTGCATACCTTTTGCCCTCATAAAACCCCTATGGGCATTCAGTAAAAATAAAGCAATAATTATTGCTAAGTACTGTGAGGAATTAGGATATGCACACGAAGAAGCGTATGCCTCGATCTCAATACTAGGCAAAAAGAGGGTTCTGTGCTTTAAAGTAAAATGTAAAAGTTCACAAGTTTGTGTAGCCTGGTTGCGCAAATATCTTCGCAAAGAGAATTTCTAAAGTTACTAATTCACAGTAATTAACCCACCTCATTAAGTACAAACTAAAAGTATGAAATATAACTTCAGTTAGAAAGGGCTACAGATGCGGGGTTGTAATGTTGATTATCGTCAGGCAAAATCCCATGAAATATTTAGTCAGGCCAGCATGCCTGCGTTTGAATGAGATGCTTTGCAGGGCGCCGCGGAAAGAACACTCGTGAGGTAACAACTAATCTAATATGAAATTTTCATTTTACTTTCTATGACCTTATAAAATTAAATAAACCTAGTAGAAAACACGAATAAAACATTCTTTCTTGTTTTCATTTGGTAACAAACTAGGTGTTCCCTAAAGCTCCTAACTGAAGAAGCGGCGCCTGTCGGATCTAAATAACTTTTACCAATTTCCGATTAATTTTGAAGCCATGTTAGCGAAATCATGCATTCGTCTATGCCGTTAAGACGTCATAAAAGTGTACAAAGGACGTGGATCAGATTTAATACTTCATGGGCGACATCAATGAAAGGATACACACGATACTCACCCGGAAGCGGGAATTATGTCATGAGGGAAATATCTTGGAAGTATGCTATATAGTCATCACTATTACAACATCTACTTATGTAATCCTTTCTGATCTCTGAATTTCGCCCAACATTTCACGAGAAAGGCCGATTACTGCAAGTGTACTAAATGTGGGAAGTACATACTATAACTACTATAACTACGTAACAACGTATTTTCTTCAAAGTAGTTCTTCCACAGATGGTAGAGAAACTCGATTGAAGTCACGTAAGAAGGGATTTAGAAGTATGCTTTGTGCCTGTCTGTATTGATGTAACCCCTTCTAAGTCAAGGTAGACTTAGGGTTACCCGTAAGCCTAGCAGGGTTACGCGATCGAAGAAAGATTACATTTTTTCTAACTATTGAGCTGATACGATGTTCAAAACCAAAATATCGGGGTCAGGTGTGTTAGGACGGCCTAACGAAGAGCCTTAGCAAGCAGTAGCTTGCAAGCCATAACCGCACTCCAAACAGGCTATCGATCGGCCCACACGGGCGAACGTACACAAGCCGTCAATCGATCGATAATTCAGAATTCAAACTACAGTCATCCACTGAGCCAACAATCAATGGGACCGGCCACTATTTCAGAAGAGAATCGGATTGGTTCGTGGACCTATCTTACACACGTTCGTTTCCCTAAATTTGTTGTA